TGAGGCGAGGAGTCGGCGGGGTCAGCCTGCTCCAGTGTTTCCCAGACTCTGTTCGGGAACATGAAGGCAAACACAGAAGGGCATGTGCAGAGACACACGTGATCACGCAAGTGATGCAGAGGCAGACCCAGACAAAAGACCGAGACAGGAGCCAGGCAGACACACAGACAGAGACAGCCCCTCAGAGTCATGTAGACAGGCATAATGACAGGAACGCGTCAGACACAGGCACTGAAGGAGACGAGATGAGCAGATATGCAGGTGCACACAGAGACAGACACCGGGACGACCCACACACAGCCGACCTTGTCAGACACACTGGTGAACACAGCGGTCCAGTCAGAGGCAGACACAAGGCTCGCAGTGACACATAGCGGGCCGGGGCCGGCACTGTCACTCCTCGGTGGGGGGGCGGGGAGGGGCCAGCAGCGGGGGAAGGCTGGGGAAGGGAATCCCGAGCGGGCGGCCTGCCCGGGTGGCTGAGTCACAGCGGCGCCCCAGCCGGCGGCCCTCCCCTCCGCCTCCCCCCTCCCCCAGGTAAGAAGCGAGCCTGTAACCCCTCGCTTCCACCGGGCGGAACGAGGCCTGGCGGGGAGCGGGATGCGGCGGGTGCCGGCCCCGGCCCCGCCTCGGCGCGTCCGCGGACTGCGTGCGGGTGGGGAAGACCGTGTGTGCGGGGTCTTGCATTGGCCGGCATGTGAGTCTGCGTGCGCACGTCTGGCCCCTTCCCCCGCGTCCCGCGCGGCCGCAGCGGTGCGCGCCGGGGGCTCCTCAGGCCTGGAGCCGGGAGAGGGTTAAGTGGGTGTGATTGATGGAGTGGGTCTCTCTCGGGGCTCCGGGGGAGGGGGTCGGTTAAAGTCCCCGAGTCCAGAGCCCGGATGGAAGGGGCGGAGCTGGGCTTAACCGGGAGTGCCCGGATGGAGAGGGCGTGGCCTCGGCAGGAGCAGAATTAACCCTTTCTGGGCGGCCGGCCCCGGGGACTGTGGGTCGGGCGGGAGAGGCTGGGAAGGAATGTCTGCCCCAGAAGTATACCGTCCTCCCAGCCTGGCTGTGGCCGCGTGCGTCTTCCTCTCGCCTGCCTTCGGGGAGTCTGTGGGTGTCTGTCTTTGTGACTGCTGCCCGTGGCCGTCCCCTCCCCTTGGTTAGTACGGACACCGGGTGTCGGGGAGGGCTATTCCTGCCCCAAAGCGAGAGTGGAGGTGAGAGTGGACCGCGAGCCGGCGCCGGGGAACAGGTGTGAGCGCGGCGTCGAGGCTGGCGGGCGCGGGGAGGGGCCGTCGTGGGGGAAGACGAGAGGGGAAATTCCGCGGGACCGGTGGTGAGCGGTGTGTGGGCTGAGTTGTGTCTGCCTCTGACTGTGTGTCTGTGTGTGTTCAGGGAGGCGAGGGCTGAGTCAGTGGGAATAGGGGAAGGTTTTGTGGGTGACTCACGCTCTCCCACCCCAAGCCTGAATCAGACCCCGAGGGAGGGCTTTGTACGGGGGGCGGATGAGGAGTCAGGCGCCCGGGTCCCGGTGAATCCGAGGTGGTTGGCGAGAGTGAATGTGTATTTAGTGCACAGGAAGTTTTTGTTCTCCAGTGAGGGCTGCTGTACTCTGAGTACCGGCGTGGGGGGTTGTGGACAAAGGTGGAAAGTGGCTGGAGGGACGGGACTCAGTGCTTTAGGGAAAGCTGAGTCAGTTCCCCGTGGGAAAGGGGAAGTGGTGGAGGGGAAGTGTCATCATCGCAGAAGGGGAAGCTGCATTTCCTGGTAGCTGGCAGCGCCCTCGGCACCGCTTCGCAAACGGGGATCTGATCCTGCGATGCCTGAACCCC